AAGCCGTGTGAGAACCCCTTGCTGTAAAATGCCAGAATTGCTTCAACAGTGCCGCTTGCAACCGTAGATTGGATTACTGTGTAGTCCATGCTAAGTAAATGCTTTTAGCATTTTCAAAGCTTTAGATAATGAAGTTTCCCTCATTACCAATGCACGACAGTCTACTTACCTTTCTGCAGCATTGAAACACTGATTCTACACTGGCAACTCAATAGTTGAGGTTACTAATTCCAGAGTAGCACGTGTGCGCTTGGCTCTAGGATTACCTAGTGATGGAAGACTCGGGTATATGATATGTGAGTGCTTAGTGTGTATTGAGTACACCCAAGTCCCTTGCCCTTTTATTACCTTTCAGCCTCCACATGAATAGTTAATGGCCTCATCAGTTGTAATTGTCTTTGATTTCATGAGAAATTAATGACCTTCTGCAACACACTGCTTTCTCTTTTTTCATTGGCGGTCCCTCAAAAAGAAACCACATTTTTTTTTTTATAACTTTGGGCAACTCCCCTGAATTTTTAATCCCCTGAATTTTAGAGATGTTCAAATAATTCAAATTCAAATCTTTATTGTCAGTGCACAACATAGATACAATGAGATTGGTTGAGCTCCCTCAGTGCACACACCCCCCAACACAATACAACTCACAGTGAAGACAAAAAATTCCTAATCCAATAAGTCATATTAACAAAACACCCAGTCCTATTGCACCAGTGTGAACATGTTACACATTGCGTCGGCCTGTTGTGGCCCATTAGCGGCCTGTGCGGATTGTAGCTGACTTTGACAGCGAGGAGGCTGATGTGGTGTTGCACCAGCAGCCTGTGCAGCTGGCACTTGAGTCGGACAATGAGGAGGCTGGAGCAGACTTAGTGCCCTAATGTCTTTTGGAGCAAAAATTAATATAAGACCCAGTCTTATTTTCAGGGAAATATGGTAGATACCAGTTCCAGACATGATCTCATTTAGGTAGGGGAAAAGGAGAATTCAACCGGGATGCTGATGACTTCTTGCTCCCAATGACTTCATGTCAAACTTCCATTTAGATGTTAAGAGAGTTTGGAGAAAAGATTTCAAAAATCTTAATAGGAACTCACAACTCAAAAGGACTGAACGGTCAAAGTTATCGGAGGCTTATTGAATAGCCAAGAAAGTTATGCATTATTTTATTTTTTGGTGGTATCTTAAATCATTTTCACTTGAACTTTGTTTACATGTAACTTGAAAAGTTTTAAGAACTGTTGGCAACCATACCCTGTTCAGGTTCTTTAAAAAAAGGAGAGTTATATGCCACTAACCCAAAATGAACCAGATTAAAAGATTGTAAGAAAGTTGTTATTTCCCCATTCAGGCAGTTTGAATCAATTTCAGTCTTAGAGTCTTAGTTACTTCTTCCTAACAATATGTTGTTAGCCCCATCAGTGGGTTCTTCCTGACCAATGCAGATTTTTTTTTTTTGTCCAGATAAACAGGGCAGTATATACGGCTCGTGTTTTTCAATTTAGCAGCTTAATTCTTATCTGTTCTACCATAAACCACCATCCTGTGTGAAAACTGCACAACAATTCACCTTCGTGGTTTTTGAAAGGGCTGAAGTGTGACTCAAAGTCCTGAACATTAAAACGTAACATTTACTGCCCCCAAGTGGCACAGGTCAGTTTTTGCATGCATAGAGGTCTTGCAGACATTTGTAGAAATCCATTTATTCTACAGATTATCTGGCAGCTTGGAAGTCTTTAAATTCATAAGAGATTAATGTTAAAAGAAGTGGGAACACATATGCCACATTTTCTCAATGAAAGGCGGAAGATTGGTTTGGATACGTGTTAAACAACTTTCATCTGTAAAGGAAAATACTGGTGTAGGAGTAATAGGATTTGAGAGGAAGTTGCACCTTTGTGGCTACTCATAAATTTCTTTATTTGAAAGCTGAACTGCAGCTTTTCATTGTCATCGGTTAAAGGCTGTGCTGGAAGTTAATTTCTATGAGTATCGGGCCCAATTGTTCCTTGACCATTCAAGTTCTAGTATATTCCTATAGTAAGGAATTCTATCTTTCTACTTTCCTCTTCGTTTCTATTTTGACAAATACCGTATTTTTCGGAGTATAAGACACTCCAGACTATAAGACGCACCTAGCTTTTTTGGTGAGGAAAACAAGAAAAAGAAATCTGCCTCCCAGCCATTTTGCTTCATTGCAGCAAACAGCAAATAGCCTGCTTTACTTTCATTTTCGTTTTCAGCATAGCTTGATTAGCACAAGAAAAAAAAAAATCTGCCTCCCAGCAATTTACCTCCTTGCAGCAAGCAGCAGAGGACCGCGCAGCGATAGGCAATGGCTGTTTCTTCTTGCTGCTTTGTTGCTTTGTTTTTCCTTGAAGATGTTTCACTTCTTACCCAAGAAGCTTCTTCAGCTCTGAACTGAAGCACCGGACATTGTTAGTCATGGCGGAATTAAATATCAATGGAGACTCTTTATGAGTTCCAGATGAGTAAAATGAATGGAAATGCATCAGGGGTGGGTTCTAAATATTTTTACTATCGGTTCTGTGGGCGTGGCTTATTTTGTGGGTGTGGCTTGGAGGTCATGTGACTAGGTGGGCATGGCTAGCTGGTCAGAGTCATTTCTGGAAGGTCCTCACACTTACGACCAGTCCTCGCACTTACGATCCGACTCATTTGTTTGCTTTTAACACTGATTAGCTATAGGACGGCCCTTTGAAGCCCTGCGGCAAGAGTTTAAACAGTTTTTTTCCCTCTAGTCATCAGCTGGGACTCAGGAGGCAGCAATAGATTGGGGGTGGGACCAAATAAAAGGTAAGAATAACGTGGGTGGGTGGGAGGGCGGGGGGGGGGAGAACCGGTTCGGTGACGTTATATCATCACCGCTACCGGCTCGGCCGAACCGGGAGGAACCCACCACTGAAATGCACCGCCATCATTACCCCCAACTCATGAAAACCAATTTATAGTCTGGTGGAAGGGAGCTTGTCAAGTCTTTTGGCAAGAAAACACCACTATTCTTCCTTAAAAAGTATTGTATGGCATTTTCATCACATGTTAAGCAGCGAAGACATCCCACTCAAATCCTACAAGCCATTGAATGTGCTTTGGTCTTCCTTTTCTTCAGCACTTCCCAAGGGAAGAGAGCATCTCTGGCTTTCTAATGGTGGGATATTTAGTCAAGAGTTTTTAAAATTCCTGCTGCCAAAGTTTAGAACATTACACAGGTTGGGGACACAGGACTTCCCATTGACGGGCCAAATTGAGAAGGACAACTTCCAGAGCAGGTTTAGTCCCCTTTCATTGAACTTCTACTTAGCTTCGGAGGAGCCATGGTGACTCAGTGGCTAAGATGCTGAGCTTGTCGATTGAAAGGTCAGCAGTTCAGCGGTTCGAATCCCTAGTGCCGCGTAACGGGGTGAGCTCCCGTGACTTGTCTCAGCTTCTGCCAACCTAGCAGTTCGAAAGCAGGTAAAAAATGCAAGTAGAAAAATAGGGGGCACCTTTGGTGGGAAGGGAACAGCGTTCCATGCGCCTTTGGCGTTTAGTCATGCCGACCACGTGACCACGAGACGTCTTCGGACAGCGCTGGCTCTTCGGCTTTGAAACAGAGATGAGCACCGCCCCCTAGAGTCGGGAACAACTAGCACATATGGGCGAGAGGAACCTTTACCTTTACCTGGAGTTGGACTGCATTTCTGATCTTTCAGGTTTTTCCTCACTGATCTTGTTTTCGTTTTGTTTTTCAGAAAATGGAACCGTGGGAAAAAGAAATCACAGAAGCAGATATGCTGGAGTATGTTTGGGAGAACAGTGTCTCCGAAAAAAACGCTTTAAAGACATTGCTTCAAATAAGAGCAGCTGACAAAGCTGAAGAAAGCAGCAGAGAAGAGCTTCTCGCCTCTGAGGTGATGCAGGATTACAAGAAGTCCATGGTTCTCTTGAAAAATGAAGGGGAAACAGAGAAGAATCTTTTGGCATATAAAAACTCGGTTAAGAGACTGTTAAACATCCAGGACTCGTAATGTAAGCAGTTATTTTTGTGGGATGCTGTATATGTACTGATGGACATAGTCCTAATAAATTTTTTTAAAAATAATATCCAGTTGCAAAAGGAAAACGATCTCTTTCACCTCCTCTTCTTCCCCTGCTCCCCAATACATTTTCACCCAGAAAAATCAACCAACCAACTACAACATACCGTATTTTTCGGACTATAATTTTTCCGGATTATAAGATGCACCTAAATTTAGAAGAGGAAAACAACAAAAAAAAAGTTTTTGGCCTCCCTTTTTTCTGGCCTTTTCCAGCCTTTTTTCGGACTGTTTTTGGGGCTTTTCTGGTACAGTTTAGCCTCCAGTTCCCTTATCATCTTTATTACTTTTTTCTGCACCCTTCCCTTCCCTTCCCTTCCCTCCCCTTCCCCTGTCCTCTCCTCCTGTCCCCTCCCCTTTCCTTCCCCTTCCCTCTCCTCTCCTCCCCTCTCTTCTCTCCTCCTCTCCCGTTCCCTTCCCCTCCCCTTCTCCTTCCCCTCCCCTTCCCCTCCCTTCCCTTCCCTCCCCTTCCCCGTCTTCTCCTCTTGTCCCCTCCCCTTTCCTTCCCCTTCCCCTTCCCTTCCCCTTCCCTCTCCTCTCCTCCCCTCCCTCCTCTCCTCTTCCCTTCTCTCCCCTTCCCTTCCCCTCCCCTCCCCTTCCCCTCCCTTCCCTCCCCTTCCCCTGTCCTCTCCCCCTTCCCCGTCCTCTCCTCTCCTCCCGTCCCCTCCCCTTTCCTTTCCTTCCCCTCCCCTTTCCTTTCCTTCCCCTTCCCTCTCCTCTGCTCCCCTCCCTTCTCCTCTCTCCTCCTCTCCCCTTCCCTTCTCTCCCCTTCCCTCCCCTTCCCCTGTCCTCTCCTCCCCTCCCCTCCCCTTTCCTTCCCCTTCCCCTTCCCTCTCCTCTCCTCCCCTCCCTTCTCCTCTCCTCTCCCCTTCCCTTCCCCTCCCCTCCCCTCCCCTTCCCTTCCTGATGAATTTGGAATTTGACCATTAAAATCTACTTTTAATGGCAGCGTATTTTACGAATTGGTTGGGTGCTGATTTTCCTTTCTGCCTTGGTTCATAACGACCTCTCTTTTTCCATCCTGTGGCCAAAAATGCACTGCAGCAGCAACAGCACGTGAAAGTCAACAAACAAAAAAGTACAATCAGAGGCAGCCAGGCCCCACTTCCCGCCATCTCCTCTGTGGGCGGCTGGCTTTCATCATCAGAACTGTGGTTCCTTCCACTGTAGACTTTGGTTTCGTTCAAGGGTTTGCTGGTATTGGGAAGGACCCCACCGGGTGATAGCGACGCCGTCTGGATGGGTGCAAACCCAGAGACAGAGGATGCCTTGACATTATCTGAAGGGGTGGTAGAGGTGTTGATCCCTGGAAGAATCTCAGCAGCTTTCGCTGAATGGTCCATCGCTGAAGTCGACGCCGTCAATGTGATGGGTGAGTTCTTGAGGGTAGCATCTACCGCTGAGCTCCTGCTACTCCTGTCCATGCCTGGCTTGGGGGCTGTTGTGGGAGAGGAGGCCTCCAGGAAAAGGAATCTTGGGGAAGATAGTTCATCCTGGTCTGTTTCTAGGTCAGCAACCCTTGCTCCACCATGCCTCTCCCATTTATTAAAAGAAGACCTGGTGTTTATATCTTTGAATGAGAGCTTCTCAAAAACAAGAAGGTCAGGATCAACGCCTGGGAAAACAGAAGCCAAGAAAGAATAAAGTTTTAATTTCCCTCCTCATGTCCAACGCCATCTGATCTATAGACTTATCTCCCCAACTTCGCGTTGTGCGCCAGTTACAGCCCTTCCAGGACAAGGGAGGCCCTCCACTCGGTAACTCATGCCCTGGTCATCTCCCGACTGGACTATTTGCAACATTGTGTACATGGGTCTAACCTTGAAAAGTATCCAGAAGTTTCAACTGGTGCAGAATGCGGCCGCATGAGCTACCCTGTTTCCCCAAAAATAAAGGTAAAGGTTCTCCTCGCACATATGTGCTAGTCGTTCTTGACTCTAGGGGGCAGTGCTCATCTCCGTTTCAAAGCCAAACAGCCAGTGCTGTCCGAAGACGTCTCTGTGGTCATGTGGCTGGCATGACTAAATGCCAAAGGGACACAGAACGCTGTTACCTTCCCACCAAAGGTAGTCCCTATTTTTCCAGTTGCATTTTTTACATGCTTTCGAACTGCTAGGTTGGCAGAAGCTGGGACAAGTAACGGGAGCTCACCCCATTATGTGGCACTAGGGATTCGAACTGCTGAACTGCCGACCTTTCGATAGACAAACTCAATGTCATATCCACTGAGCCACCATGTTCCTTTATCCCTGAAAATAAGACCGGGTCTTATATTAATTTTTGCTCCAAAAGACGCATTAAGGCTTATTTTGGGGGAAATATGGTACTAAATGTACCCTTTTTTTTTTTTATTTGATTTATATGCCGCCCTTCTCCGGAGACTCGGGGCGGCTTACAGTGCATTAAGCAATAGCCTTCATCCTTTTGTATATTTATACAAAGTCAGCTTATTGCCCCCACAAACTGGGTCCTCAATTTACCTACTTTAGAAAGGATGGAAGGCTGAGTCAACCTTGAGCCTGGCGAGATTCGAACCTGCAGTAATTGCAGGCAGCTGGATGTTAAATGCTGCCTTAGGAGGCATTAGCCTCCTACGCCACTCAGGCTCATCTTGGCTGATGATCTTAACTGGGGCTTATTTTTGTGGTAGGGTTTATATTACAAGCATCCTGAAAAATCATGCTAGGGCTTATTTTCCAGTTGGGTGCCCAACGATGGGGACATATAATATCTCTGATCCAGGAACTGTGTTGGGTGCCAATTTGCTTCTGGGTCCAGTCCAAGGTGTTGGCTATTACCTATAAAGCCCTATATGGCATTAGGGCCAGGCTACCTATGAAATCTGCTTCTCCCCATCACATCAATCTATCCCAGGGGTGAAATCCAGCAGGTTCTGACAGGTTCTGGAGAACCGGTAGTGGAAATTTTGAGTAGTTTGGAGAACCGGCAAATACCACCTCTGGCTGGCCCCAGAGTGGGGTGGGAATGGAGATTTTGCAGTATCCTTCCCCTGCCACACCCATCAAGCCACACCACGCCCACCAAGCCACGCCCACAGAACCGGTAGTAAAAAAAAAATTGGATTTCACCACTGATCTATCCCACTCATTCAGCCAGGGAAGGCATGCTACAAATCCTGTGGTTTTCTTTCTTTCTTTTGTCTCTATTAAAACCATTTTGGCGTTTTATATTTTCTTTGAATAAACTAAAGATTATTGCAGGAAAAAGTTTGGTAAACAAAAAAAAAATCAAGCAAACAAACTTCATATCTGGATACTTTCTAAAAAAACAAGTTCTACAGTAAAAAAAAAAAAAACTTATGACATCATATAGCTCAGCAATCCAAGCATCCTAAAATGGTATTATTATAATAATAATTATTAACTACATGGTATGGATAGAAGACAGCTAGATGTTTGGTACTTCCTTCCAGCTTCTTTGCTATAAAGTTCTACCATAAGTTTTTTTAAAAAAATAAATCTGGATTTTAGTTATGCACATGTGCAAATCACTATTTCCCCCTGAGTATGCACTAATGCATACTTTGAGGCAGGGGTGAAATCCAGCAGGTTCTGACAGGTTCTAGAGAACCGGTAGCGGAAATTTTGAGTAGTTCGGAAAACCCAGTAAATACCACCTCTGGCTGGCCCCAGAATGCAGTGGGAATGGAGATTTTGCAACATCCTTCCCCCAGGAGTGGGGAGGGAATGGGTATTTTGCAGTATCCTTCCCCTGGAGTGAGGTGGGAATGGAAATTTTGCAGGATCCTTCCTCTGCCATGGCCACCAAGCCATGCCACCAAACCACGCCCACAAAACCGGTAGTAAAAAAAAATTGGATTTCACCACTGCTTTGAAGGAAATGGGCAATTCAGAAATGTAATAAACAAACAAGCAAGCAAGGAAGCCTTACCTGGTGTAATATTGTAGAGGATAGCACTGGTTGTAGGTTTTACTATGCAGCTTTCCAGCACCGGGCAATACATGTGAATGCAGTTTATATCATGGATATTGGTTTTGTAGTAGAAAACAGCCAAGTTACAGGAAACTAAAAAGTAGAGAGAAGGGAAAGTTTTAAGCTGAGTCCTGATGCTGTCGATGCCGGATGAGCTTTATCAGACTGTGGAATATATTAATAATAATAAAAAAATCCCTTAATTAGGTTGCTAAAAAGTATAATTCTCTAGGCATATCTCTTTCCACCGCCACATCTTGATTAAAAAAATCAGCCAAAAAGAAGGATTAAGCGGATTATCTTTCTAATGAGTTGGTGTTTTCATACTTTTTTTTTTTTGGCCTAAGAATCAAGACCAGGTCATATGCTGACAGGATTATGGGTCACAATCCCTCACCATATGAAAACAGGGATTGTCTTGTGCCAAATCAGTATTCCAATAATGGACGGATTCAGTCCTTTAGCTCGCATTTCAGTTAGTGCCTTTATCCTACCAGTCCGCAGCAGGACTGAGAGACAGAATTGTGCAGGAGAATTGTTCTTTGTTTGAAAGTTCAGCTCTGGAGGCCGTTGACCAATGCCCGAAGAAATGCAACGAAGGGGCTGAAAAGACCTTTAAAATGCTTTTTTGTTGTTTTTTTTTTAACCCATCAGAGTGGTTGATTGATTGTAAGCCACCTAGAATCAGCTTTAGGTGAGATGTGCAACATATAGAGGCAGTTTGGCCTAGTGGTTAAGGCAACAGGCTAGGAAGGAAAAGGAAAGGAAAAGGCTGTTAGTTTAAGTCCACCTTAACCATGCCAGCTGAATGCCCTTAGGCCAGTCACTCTCTGAGCCCCACTCACCTCACAAGGCTGTTACTATTGTAGGGGAAAAAGGAGGAGAAAGGAGTATGATGTATAGTTGCTGCCTTGAGTTATTAGGGAAAATAATAAAGGTGGGATACAGAGAGAGAGAGAGAGAAGAGAGGGGAAGGGGAAGGGGAAGGGGAGGGAGGGAGGGAGGAAGGAAATGAAAGAGGATGGAGGGGGAGGAAGGGAGGGAAAGGGAAAGCAATAAAGAAGAAAGAGAGGAGGGTGGAAGGGAAGGAAGGAAGGGAAAGAAAGAAGGAGGGAGTGGGGGGAGGAAGGAAGGAAGGGAAAGGAAAGAAAAAAAGGAAGGAGGGAGGGAGGGAGGGAGGTTGGGAGGGAAAAAGGAAGGGAAAGGGAAAGGGAGAAAGGAAAGGAAGGAAGAGAAAGGAAAGGAAAAAGAAAGAAAAAAGAAAAAGAAAAAAAGAAAGATGAAGGAAGGAAAAGGAAAGAAAAAAAGAAAAAGAAAGAGAAAGAGAAAGAGAAAGAGAAAGGAAGAGAAAGGAAGGAAGAAAGAGAAAGAAAGGGAGGGAGGAGGGAAGAAGGAAGGAAGAAAGGAAAGAAGGAAAGGAAAAGAAAGAAAAGAAAGAAAGAAAAAGATTAAGGAAGGAAGGAAAAGGAAAGAAGAAAAGAAAAAGAAAGAAAGGAAGGAAGGAAGGAAGGAAGAGAAAGAAAGGGAGGGAGGAGGGAGGAAGGAAGAAAGAAAAAGGAAGGAGGGAGGGAGGTTGGGAGGGAAAAAAGGAAGGGAAAGGGAAAGGGAGGAAGGAAAGGAAGGAAGAGAAAGGAAGGAAGGAAAAGAAAGAAAGTTTTCCCTTGCTTTTGAATAGGTTAAGTAAGTATCTTAAATGTTGACACACCAGGTGGCTAATACTTTATTTTTCATGCGGAGACCCTTGAATCTTTCCCGAAGAAAACGATTCCTTACCATCCTTGAGGATACAGCAGTCTCGGCTGCATTGTCCGGCAGTGGATGCTGCATAAATGTTGAGGATGTGAGCTCCTTGCTTCTGGGAATGTTCCAGATCGACGGAAAGACCTGGGAATCGTCGGATCCAGCAGTTTTTGTAAAACGTGGTGGGTGAGCAAAGACCTTCTGATCTGCACACCCAGGCCCCAAACAGAAGGACTTCTGAAAGAGCCACTAGCAGAAACATCTCGGAAACATTTCCTTAGCAAGGTCTTCTTCTCCAAGGCAGAAGAAATGCTGAACGAGAGAAGCTCAGCGCTGCCTGTTAGGACAACTTGTTTTCAGCTGATGACTATTTTATGTGGAACTAGGAAGCCATTTGCAAACATACAGAATAATCCCTCTCCATCTTTGCACAGCTGCTTGAACTTCATGAGGTAGATCTTGAGTTCGCATAATGACACCTGGTAGAAGAATAAAGAATTTCCAGCTGTTAACTATTGGGCCAGAAACCATACAGCTTTCTCCAGTGGTGGGTTTCAAATTTTTTTACTACTGGTTCTGTGGGCGTGGCTTGGTGGGCATGGCAGGGGAAGGATACTGTAAAATCTCCATTCCTTTCCCACTCCAGGGGAAGGTTACTGCAAAATCCCCATTCCCACCCCACTCCAGGGAAAGGATACTGCAAAATCCCCATTCCCATGCCACTCCAGGGGAAGGATACTGCAAAATCCCCATTTCCTCCTGATCAGCCGGGACTTGGGAGGCAGAGAATAGATGGGGGGGCGGGGCCAGTCAGAATTTTTACTACCGGTTCTCCGAACTACTCAAAATTTCCGCTACCGGTTCTCCAGAACTGGCCAGAACCTGCTGAAACCCACCTCTGGTTTTTCTCCCTTGAAAGGAAGTCTATGATGTATCCTAATGGGGGACAGATTTCCCCATTTGGTGATTTTTTTTAAAAAAAGGTATTTTAGATCTAGAAAACAATTCTAGAACTTCTTGGTTTAGGCTTTAGAAAACCTTTCCTTGAGGCACCTTTGAAACTTTGAAATTGCATCTGTGGAGGCAATAAGCTGACTTTGTATAAAATATACAAAAGTATGAAGGCTATTGCTTAATGCATTGTAAGCCGCCCTGAGTCGCCGGAGAAGGGTGGCATATAAATAAATTAAAAAATGGTCCTGTTTTATCTACTTATTTTCCTTGCTTTAGAAATTCTGCAGTGGCTCCGTTCAAGAACTATCCCATTAAAAACTATCCCCAAAACTCAACTGGAATCTAGTTTTCTAAACACCCTTATTTTGTATCCTGAGAAAAGACCGCTTTTCGCCTTCTTCCAATAACAGAGTTGGAAGGGACCTTGGAGCAGTGGTGAAATGTAAAATTTGTTACTACTGGTTCTGTGGGCGTGGCTTGGTGGTGGTGGGGTAATGTGACTGGGTGGGCGTGGCCAACTTTTTTTTTTTTTTTTTTTTTTAAAAATTTTTTTTTTCTAATCCCTCTTCGGCCGAAGAGGATGCAGAAAAAAATGCTTTTAAAAGCATCTGACGATCCCAGCTGAGCCGTGCGATCATCAGAGGCTTTCTTTTTTTTTTTACTTTTAAAAGCATTTTTCGGCCGAAGAGGTTGTAGAAAAAATGCTTTTAAAAGTTAAAAAAAAAGCCTCTGATGATTGCATGGCTCAGCTGGGCACGGAGTGGGGGGGAGGGATTTTTGCTACCAGTTCTCTGAACCACCCACTGCCATCGCTACCGGATCGGGTGATCCGGTCCGAACCAGGAGCATTTCACCCCTGCCTTGCAGGTCTTCTAGTCCAATCTCCTGGTTGAGCAGAATACCCTATACCAGTGATGGGTGAACCTATGGCACGTGTGCCAGAAGTGGCAGGCAGAGCCATCTCTCTGGGCACGGGAGCCGTTGCCGATGCTCTTCCAGGTTCTGGCGCACCGGCCAGCTGGTCTTCATGTATGTGGGAGCACCGGAAACCCGGAAGAGCAGCCACCCAGTGTGCATGCGCGTGCTGGGTGGCTGTTCTTCCAGTTTCCAGTGCACGCATTACAAGTGGACAATAGTGTTTCTAATTTTACCTGAATGTTTTGAAAATTCATAAGAGAATTCTTCAGAAAATATTTCTCAGAATATATTCAGCCTCATTAGGGGGATTTTAAGGAAAGTCCATACATATGATCCTTGACTTGTGACTGTAACGGAGCCGGCCCATCATAGCTGCAAGTTGTGACGGTCATAAAGTGGGTCACTCACATCAGTGGTCCCCAACCCCCGGTCCGCGGACCGGTGCCGGGCCGTGGAGTACCTGGCACCGGGCCGCGCAGCGGCCGGGGGACATGAACGCTGCAGCGCAAAGGCTCCTGGGCCGTGCGCAAAAGCTCCTGGGCCGTGCGCAAAAGCTCCTGGCCGTGCGCAAAAGCTCCTGGGCCGTGCGCAAAGGCTCCAGGGAAGAGAGCCCCGCGCAGGTACGCACGTGTGGCCCAAAGCCCCCACCCCTGCGCGCGCTCAGCGGGCCACGGTAAAATTATCAAAGGCTGATTGGTCCGCGGCGATAAAAAGGTTGGGGACCACTGACTCACATGACCCAATGTTGTGACATTTGACCTTTTTTTCAGTGCCATTATAATCCTATAAAGTCCAGCAACTGGACTTTTCTTGTTTTTCTTTGAAGACGTTTCGCTTCACATCCAAGAAGCTTCTTCAGCTCTGACCGGATGGTGGGGGAATGGAAGGATTTATAGTTCTTGCAGACAGCTGGTCATTTGCATCCTTTTAGAGAGTTGCTGAGGCCACTTGGAGGTTTATCTGTGTCCTCAGGGTCACCTGTGTCCATTCACTGCAGAAAACATCCGCAGAAAGCACAGTTCCACAACAGTCCTTTCAGCAGTTCTGTTGTGGCCCCGCCCTCTGAGCCTATCCCATCGGAGGAAGAAAGCTCCGAGCATGAGGAAGAGGAGTCAGCCAGGCCTCCCTCTCCAGGCCCCTCCCCTCTGGCACTGTCTCAGGTGCCGGCCGAGGGAGAGGAGATTAGCAGGGAGACAGGTGGCTCGGATGAGAGCGGAGGAGAAACATCATTCCTGGACGCACGCCTCCGAAGGCGTGATAAACGATTGCAGCAGCTCAGGAGGCGTGCTAGGGATTAGAACTGAGTCACTGGACCACACCCCAGAGACTATATAATAGAGGGTGGTGGCCAGTGATCCCTGTGACGAACAAAACTAACCTTGGATAGTCACTAAAGCCTCGTCCGGATCTGCTGAGAGAAATATTATTCTGATTGGACTTTTTGTACGCTAAGTATCTTATCTTTCTGTTTTGTGGAAATAAACGCGCTTGGCAGACGGTGTGTAAATCGCTGCCAAGTTGGAGATAAGACCTGGGTGTGTGCCAAAGTGTTTCCTTAACCCTTGGCTGGCTGTGTTTGTGTGTGTGTGTGTGTGGACGGGGACAGATCAAGTTCCAAGAAGTCTCCACACCCATTTGCACTACTCAGGTGACCTTGAGGACACAGACAAACCTCCAAGTGACCTCAGCGACTCTCTAAAAGGATGCAAATGACCAGCTGTCTGCAAGGAGTATAAATCCTTCCTTTCCCCACCATCCAGTCAGAGCTGAAGAAGCTTCTAGGATGAGAAGCGAAATGTCTTCAAAGAAAAACAAGAAAGCACAGTTGCCTCTTAAAAAAGCACCTTTGGGACAACTATGACCTGGATGAGAATCTCCATAGACAGTGCTATTGTAACTTTGTACAGTCACTAAATGAATGTTTATAAGTGGAGTACTACAGTGGTGAGTTCCTCCTGGTTCGGTCTGGTTCGGCCGAGCCGGTAGCGGTGACGATATGACGTCACCGAACCGGTTCTCCCACCCGCCCACCCCCCCACATTATTCTTACTTTTTATTTGGTCCCACCCCCAATCTATTGCTGCCTCCTGAGTCCCAGCTGATGACTAGAGTGGAAAAAAACTGTTTAAACTCTTGCCGCGGGGCTTCAAAGGGCCGTCCTACAGCTGATCAGTGTTAAAAGCAAACAAATGAGTCGGGTCGTAAGTGCGAGGATTGGTCGTAAGGGCGAGGACCTTCCAGAAATGACTCTGACCAGCTAGCCACGCCCACCTAGTCACATGACCTCCAAGCCACATCCACAAAATAAGCCACGCCCACAGAACTGGTAGTAAAAAAAATTAGAACTCACCCCTGGAGTACTACCTATACAGGTTGCTACTTAGGATCTCATGCAGCCATATAGCAATTTAAATGTCAAACAAATAAATAAAAATAAATGAATGGTGGATTTACCTATTATATGCCTTCCTAGATCTTCCTTCTATGAATCAAATTTACCAGTTTTAAGATTTGCAAACAATTTCACCTGGTCCAACAACAAAACGATAACTCCTATTCAGTTTCTCTCTAGATTAGTAATTCTCAACCTGTTAAAAACAGAAACAAAATGTACATGGTCATTGTTCTCAAAGCTCCATTGGCGATATTCAGAACAAGAATAAAACATTGTTATTTTCCCGAAATTACAACTCGGTGCAATTCTACTACAAAGTAGGTGGGCAAAAGGTAACAAAATCCAAGAAATTTAAACACACGCGGAAAGGATATAGATATTGCAAAACTCAACAGAAGCAAACAGTGCATTTGTTTCGTACCTGATTTTTTCCCCTGGAAATGTTCCTTATTTATTCTCCAACGAGGAAAAGGATCGTAATAAAGTTCGCTGAGGGAAAAACCCCAAATTATCTTTTTTGCTTTTGAAACACCCAAGAATGATTTGCAAAGGCAGGCATATTATTTCACAGTCCAAGCTGGAAGCTTGAGTTAGCGTTGATTGAGGATTGATAAAAGCTCTTATTTTAGAGTGAGTCGACTGCTTGCCTGCTGGTGACATGAATGGAGAATGAAAATTTCTCTCTTTGCATGGAGAGAAAATGGCAGGTTCCTCTCTATTGACACTGGATACCTGGTTATTTAACCCCTTTTCTGCCAAGGACCTTAGCTGGAACTGCAGAAAAATCCATTGCAAAACATGTAAAAATACACATGCATTTTACTGACGTTATCGTTTAATACAGAATTAATAATAGTAGAAAATGAAGAGAGAACCAGATTGCATCTCTTTCAGGCTACACTTATAAGGGTAAAAGGTAAAGGTTCCCCTCGCACATATGTGCTAGTCGTTCCCGACTCTAGGGGGCAGTGCTCATCTCCGTTTCAAAGCCGAAGAGCCAGCGCTGTCCGAAGACGTCTCCGTGGTCATGTGACTGGCATGACTCAACGCCAAAGGTGCACAGAACGTTGTTACCTTCCCACCAAAGGTGGTCCCTATCCCCACATTTTTTATGTGCTTTTGAACTGCTAGGTTGTCAGAAGCTGAAACAATTAACGGGAGCTCACCCCATTATGCGGCATTAGGGATTCGAACCGCTGAACTGCCGACCTTTCGATCGACAAGCTCAGCGTCTTACCCACTGAGCCACCATATCCCTTAATACTTATACTACGTACTAAATACAGTAACTATGGGAGATTATTTTTCTCTCAAAATTCCTTAAACTTTTAATGCTTCCCAGCAAAACAGGATATTATTTTTTTTTAACCCTTGATTTTCAACCACTCGTGTAGTGACCGTTGTAAGTTACATTGGCACTGAAAAAAAGTGACTTATGATTAATTTTCACATCTACAACTGTTGCAGCATCCCCTTGGTCACACGTGATCATAATTCAGATGCTTGGCAACCGACTCGTATTTATGACGGTTTGCAGTGTCCTGGAGCCATGAGATCATCTTATGCCACCTTCTGACAAGTAAAGTCAATGGGGTAACAAGAGTCACTTAACAACCATGTTACTAAGTTAACAACTGCAGTGATTCACCGACAACTGTGGCAAGGAAGGTCATAAAATGGGACAAAATTCACTTGACGTCTGTCTCGCTTAACAATAGAAATTTTGGCTCAAGTGTGGTCATAAGTCAAGGATGGCCTATATACCTTTTTCCACCTCATATGTAAGTGGTTGTTCACTAGGACTCCCAGATTCCTCTCACAGTTAGATCCCTGGACATGATAGATGTTGGGTTCAATGGAAGAGATGTAAGGTCACAGCAAATCTTCATCCCCTATGAATGAATTTATGAAAGACTCTAGGTAGACTTTGTACCTACTGTCACCAAACTTGGCAACTTTAAGACATGTGGACTTCAACTCCCAGAATTCCTCAGCCAGCTATGTCATGCTGGCTGGGGAATTCTGGGAGTTGAAGTCCACAAGTCTTAAAAGTTGCCACTCTTTACAATGAAATGGTGATGGGGCCCAATCAAGGGTAGAGTCATGGGTGGGATTCAGCCAGTTCAGACTATTTCGGGAGAACCGGATGTTAATTTTAATCTGGTTCACCAAACCGGTTGTCCCACCCAATCCACCCCGCCCCTCCCAGGAGTCTCCACGCAGCCCGTTTTGGATGCCAGGTAAGTGCAGGGCATGCAAGGAGGCTCTGGGAGGGCGAAAAACGGGCCTACCAAAAGTCTGAAAATGGGCCTGTTTCCGGCCTCTGAAGGGCCTCTAGTGCCCGGGGGAGGCAATTTTCATCCTCCTGGAGGCTCCAGGAAAGCCTCTGGAGCCTGGGGAGGGTGAAAAATGGGCCTATTGGAAGCACCAGAAGTCCGGAAATTGGCCCATTTCCGGCCCACAGAGGGCTTCCGGTGCCCCAGGGAGGCCATTTTTGCCCTCCTGGAGGCTCCAGGAAAGCCTCCGGAGCCTGGGGAGGGGAAAAAGCAGGCCTACCGGAAGTCTGGAAACGGGTCTATTTCCAGCCTCTGAAAGGCCTCAAGGAAAGCCTCTGAAGCCTGGGGAGGGTGAAAAGCCCTCCCCCCCGTGGTGCAGGAGGCTGTGTAGGCCACACCCCCATGGCCACGCCCACCCAGCAACCAGGCAGTGAACTACTTGCTGAAATTTTTCAATCCCACCCCTGGGTATAGTTAGCTCAATATAGGGTCGAGAATGACACCCACCTTGGGAATGCCAGGATCCAGCATGGAGAGAGACACCCTAGGCAAATCAAACACCACACACTGGACATCACAGCCTTCTCAGAAGACCAGACTTGCAAAAGAAGCCGTTTCTTGAGAGAAGAAGCAATTTAACTCCGAACTGAGGCTGTCACGGGGCCCCTTCCCTTGAGAGAGGCAGGCAGAAATTGCACCTGCTTGAGGTTGGGTTGCATAACAGAGCCACAATCGGAGAACACAAGTCCTTTCTCTGATGTGGTGGTGACGGTGGAGATCTGTGATCCGTGGAAGACCCTTCCTTGGAAAAGAACTGGGGTTGTTTTCCAACCCCTAGTAACACTAGAGAAGGGGCACCTGCACATCTTTTGAACACAAATGTCAAGAGCAACGTAAGGACAAGGATGAGAAATAGGTGGCGTGCTCTGTAAGAAATGAAGGCCGGGAGGAATATGTCAAGTATTTTAATTTCAGTATTGCCAAGGATTTGAATATGCACATCATTTTTTATTTGTTCGTTTCTGATATGATATACTGCTAGAAATAATTTGTTATGAATTGAGCTTAGGGTTGCCAGGTCTGCTTCCAAAAAATAGCGGACAAGCGGGGAGGATTGTGTGTGTTAAGTTGTAAAAAAATTTAAAAAATGTTTACAATTAAATTATATATTTTCTTACAAACATTTTAACAGGGAGTCTTTAACAATGAAAAACGAATTGATTCGCTTGTTGCTGGAAGCTATTTTCTCCTTATCTAAATGATTTTTTGTGCTTCCATGCTGTGTGACAGCTTTTATACCATTATATTGAATTGTGAACGATTTCTGACACAATTTACAGTAGGCCGTCGTATTTGTTCTGTTGGTTTCGTTGTTGGTAATCCATGCAAAAGTAGCTTCCCAGTCTTTGGTGTATTTGCACACTCCTCTCTTTTGTTTTAAAGAATTTGAAATCTCGCCGCTGTCACTCTCATCACTCGACGCCATTTTAGGTCAGTCGACACAAGCTACAATACATTTTAAAAATGTGAACTGTACATAATTTTATAATATATTTTTATTTTAATCTCATCATTAATTTTTTTCGGAGAATCGAGTTCAATGGATATTCGATCTTTGTCTCATTCCAACATGAAAAAAAAAGACAAAACGCGATTCTCCTATCCTTATTCTCTTAGACTGTACAGCTTTAGATTACGTACCATTTCATCATAAAGCTTTTGAATAAAAAAAATGACCACTATTTTGTGAAAAAAAATAGTGAACATAATGTGAAAAAAGCAGACTGTCTGCTGAAATAGTCTAATTGAGCTTTGTTGTTTGTGATAAACAACTTGGCCAGGGAGGAAAACTGCCCCTATACAAGGCTATAGGAATGCTCCATAGATTTGTTTCCTAGCTGGCCGGCGGAGGAGCGCATTCATACACAGTGGAGCTGGGCTGGGACGATGGCTGGTGTGCCTGCAGAGGTGGCATAGGTTCGCCATCACTGCTTGAGCAGGGGGTTGGACTAGAAGACCTCCAAGGTCCCTTCCAGCTTTATGATTCTGTTATGGAATGAAGGGACCAAACAACATTCCTGGGTCAGCCAGAGTCAGTTTATTGCGCAAGGTTCAGAGCCAGATTTGTACCTGAAACTTTGAACAAGGAAAGAGCTCTGATAGACAGTTTATATATGTTTCCAAGACAAAGGATTCGGTGAGATCATGCATTTTCCATATATGGTTAACATGAGATCATGCATTTTCCATATATGGTTAACATACACTTGTTATATAATAATTGACACACGTCCTAATTACTAAACCATTACTAAACCAATATTTTTAGTTTATAAGATTATCTTAGCTACACAACTTTTCCTTAAGTGCTTGTAGTTCCTAATGGGAGATTTACTGCTGTCCTTGGGTAAATTTATTGGATTAAGTAACTCTTTGTAACATATATGTCCTTGTCTTTGACAGTGATGCCCCTCAAATGTTTTCCATATGGCTGTCCTTCCGTGACAGCTAGGTCTCATCAGAAGATATATTACCACTTAATGGGGTTTAGCTGACTTTAATATAATCTCCAAGCGAGCACTTTTCTCTCTTATAATAATGTGAATAGAGAGGGTCTCTTAGAGTTCATTTAGCTTTATAAAAATGTGAATAGAGAGGGTCCTTTAGAGTTCATGTAGCTGACTCTGTATGATTCCTATTTTATTCACATTATTTCTATTTACTATGGAGATTCCCAGTCATCTAGGTCATGGTTGTCCCAAAGATGCTTTATCAAGAGACAACTGGACTTCCTTGTTTTTTTGTTTGAAGACGTTTCGCTTCTTTTCCAAGAAGCTTCTTCAGCTCGGTCGAAAAACAAAGACTCCTAAAATCTACATTTCCCCCATCCAGCTCCAAGGACACCGCATGACCTCCCAGCCGCAGTGGAACAGAGCCGAGGTGGCGCAGTGGTTAGGGTGCAGTACTGCAGCTACTTCAGCTGACTGCTAGTTCAGCAGATCAGCGGATCAAATCTCACCGGCTCAAGGTTGACTCAGCCTTCCATCCTTCCGAGGTGGGTAAAATGAGGACCCAGATTGTTAGAGGGGCAATATGCTATTTAGTATACTGTCTTTGGTGTAAGCCGCCCAGAGTCCTCGGAGAGTGGGCGGCATGGAAATATGAATAATAAAATAAAATAAAGTCAGGCAACAATAATTAAAATACTAAAAAGGCACACTCAAAGTACAGGTCAAAAGTACATTTCACAACGAACGGGCATCATCTCGATCACAAAGCCCCAAAGAATGTTTAAAAACCCACCCGCTCTCAACCCCATTTTGGTCAGCCGCCCCCAAAACATGTTGCTGTCA